ACACGTTCCAAATGGGCGACATGACCCACCATCAGCAGCACGCCATGCGCAATGGCATGAGCATGGAGCGCAAAATGGATGCACCGGTAAGTTGAAGACTCTCTCTCTCTGGTCTTCTCTTCCACAGTTCTCTTATGCATCTCTTTTCTTGCAGTATGCGGCGCTGCGCAAGGGTCTTCTCGGCGTCTACAGCGTGGTCCTCATCCTGTTCGTCGTGGTGCTCATTCTGCTCGTGGCTCTGGCGCCCATTGAGAAGCTCTTCGAGTAAATCAGGCAGCCAGCTAGGATTAGACAAGCGCTTAACAATCTCTGCTTCTACGCTCAATTGTTTTATAACATATTATTTTTTTATACCATGTGTAATTCGTTCCCGTTTTATGTTGTTATGTGTAAATTAAGCGCAAGAGTGTAACGTTTCAGTACATGTATATAATTTATTATTGATAATGTAAAACAAGCCAACTTAAATGCGTTTCCTTCAATGCTTATCTAACGCTAACGCTAACTCTATTTGAAGAGAGAGACAGAGTGAGGAGAGAGAGATATTGAGAATGTTGTATATATGTATGAGTGTGTGGGTGTGTGTGTGTGTGGCAGGAGAGGCCTAGATAAGTGGGGGTACCGCGAGGGGGCGACATACATACATATACTCTGGCAGCCTGTGCTACTATTGCTGCTTCCTATACTTTTAGTTTCAATTTTGTTTACTTTATAGTATTATTATAATTGTAAAAAACTTTTACTCTTAGTTTGCCGTTCTCCTAGATGATGGATGCTAAGTATGCTTATTTCATTTGATTTTATGTTCTTTATGTTTCTCAATTATAATCTGGCTGCTGTTTTCCTTTTCTTCCACTATTTAAAGTTAACATAAAGATACAAGACTCAATTTTTTTTTCAATTATTAATGAAGAACTTAAACCCAGTAATGTGAACGAACGCTTTAAACGCAAAACGAACAGAATCAGAATCAAAATTAATTATATCATAATTAATTTCATAATCAAAATCAAAATCGCTCCTCCAATATAACCGTTTCCTGCGGATATAGTTTGAGCGTTTCCAGCGTTTGCCCAGCGTCGATGGACGTTAAGTCGCGTCTCGGCCAACTGCTAATGACCTTGTACTCGTCGATCAAAAACCCATTGGCGGTTATAAAGTTCAATAGATCCTGAACGAGAAAACAAATATATAGTATATATATACATACAGATAGTCCATTAGATCTTACCTGCAGTGTGTCCCGTGTGAAAAAGCGACGCTCCAAAAATTCTCCCGTTGGCTTTCGTACGCGTATTTTGGAAATGTTTGCTTCTTGCTCGGCAGGCTCCTGAGGTAACGATTGTGTAGCCTAATACATATAGAATATGCAGTTAGTATATGCCAGTATATATATATAGAGTATATTAGTTTGTCTTATTTACCACTAATCTGATGGACTCGCGCCTAGCGTCTTCTTCGGCCTGTTCGGATTCAATGCGTTTGCGTTCGGCGGCCTGAGCGGCCTCCTTTTGGCGTTTAGCTGCCTCTTTGGCTATATCCGCTTGTAGCGTCTCCTCATATGCCATATCCTGCTCAGCCTTCACCTGATCGCGCGCAGCACGCTCGTTCTCCTCCCGTATTTCGCCCTGCAGCTGCTCCTCATACATAACCGTTGTCTCAATCAGGCGCGATTGCAAATCAACCAGACCAATGTTGCCTGTGGTTAAGAATTTGATATGAAATTCCACTCACAAAGTCGTGATTAGGCAAAGGAACTTACCATGAATCACAGATAAGACCTCGCATGTTTGTCGGCCCTCGAGGCGACTCTTGCCCACTAGCATCAGGGCGGGCAGCTTGTCAAGTTTAATATTTCTGGCCGTTAAGGAAGCGTTGCTATTAATGCAGGCCGTCAACGAGGACAGAAACCTGGAACGCGCATAAAACATAATGCCAATTAATATGTGAATCAAATAATCCACTCAATTCGTATGCCTACATATCCTTGTTGCTCTCGTACGTCATGTCCCAGCCATAGAGCACAAAATTCGCCTTGAATGTCTGTATGATGGCCTCGTCCTTCATGAGATGATCACAGAATACATTTGTGAGTATGCTCTCGCCGTGATGTAAATAAATTGCCAGCAATTTTCGCTTAAAGGACAAAGTAAATTTAAGTTTTTTCGGCAACTTTTAAGAAAGGACTTGTTAGACTACCTCCTTGGCGGGCTTGTGACAGGCCAGCCGCAGCGCGTTCTCTAAACTGCCCACATAAAACTCGGGATGTGGTTCGCCAAAGCGTTGTTTATAATTTTCCACAAATTGTGCGGAGCCAGTCGTCTCATCGTTTGTATTGTTGGGTACTGCAGGGGAGAAATGGACAGTGAGAGAAGATAAGTTAAATTGTTGTTTCCATAGGGTTCAATTTGGGCTTACTTAGATGTCTGTTTAGCGGCTGCACTGGCGGAGAATCGGAGAAAATATACTCCGAATTGTTAAAGTCTGTGGCATCCTCGAACTCATCAGCTGAACTTTCACTGTCGAGAGCTACGATTTCTCTGCAGAGGCAAAAAGATGATTAATATATTTTGTATAAATATAAACTGAATATTTCGTACGTGTTGGCCAGCAAATTGGAATTATTTGATGATCGATCCGCAATGTTGCGTATTACAAATTCGTGCGTTTGCTCAATGCCCGATTGCTGTGATTAGAGAATAGACAAAGTAAATAATTATTTATACTATATATAGAAAGGTAAAACACACCGCTAAATTGGTATCATTATCACAACCGCTCGGCCAGCCGGACCATTCCTGATGCCTAACTGGTATATTGGTAATGTAGTAAACATTTGTTTTCAGTTCATGGATGGTGGTGCGTCCGGGAAAATTAAGTGTGAGCCTGCGAGCCTCTGTGCCGCCCTCTTCCACAATGTGCAATTTGTACATTTTATCCAATCGCTGTGTCACCTCATCCCTAATAAATAAATATATGTATACATGAGAATCGAGTGGAGTTCGACTGTGCTGTGGAGCTGTGCCATGCTTACTGCTCTGTGTCCATGAAACCATCATCGGTTAGATCAACAAGTATGAGGTCGCTAACGGGCGGTAAATCTAGATTGCCTAACTGCGTCTCTGGTATTTGTGCTTCGCTTGCTCTGGACGGCGGCCAGCCGCGTAAGGCCTGACGGCATTGTGGCATATTTGTTACGTCAAAGATCTTGCGTTTCAATTGTTCTGCCAGAGATGGAAGGTAAATCGAATTATTACTATTCCATTAAGAAAAAGTAGACAATTATTTACCTATGGTTGCGTTTGGTTGCATGCAAATTTTATAGAGTTGTTGGTTGAAGTGTATATTGAATGTTAGGAGATTTTGGTTATTATTCTGCCTGGGTGGATCCAAGTTAATGCTCGATGTCAGCTGGGCCAGCATTTGTGAGGCTATAATGGGAGACATACAAATATATATGTAGAGAGCAATAAACAATGGCCAATTCACATGTTTACTCACTTGGAAACAAGCGGGCACCTTGCGAGGGTCCAGGTTGCTCGTCGAAATTGAATGACCTGAAGCCATTGGAATTTGATGGTGCTGAGGCGACCGCCACCGGATCTGGCGCTGAGGGCTCCGGCGTGTGTATGGGATTGGCCAGTGGCGCATCATCGTGTGGCATGACGCGGCTGAGTGCCTCCTAAAACATGACCGAAACGAGACAACAAACAACGCAATTAAATTGGTACGCATTTGTATACTGTATGACGCACTTACCACTAGATCCCAATTGGACGACTCCAGGTGGGAGAAGGCCTCGCCAACATCCTCTATTCCAGTTATGATCTATGACATTGAATTAAAATGTAGTTTTGTTTGCATTCAAACTGATTGCAAGTCCAAGACGCAGACATCTACACATAGGCACATAAGCACACACACACATACGTGTACTCCCTTACTTGCACACACACACACAGAGTGAGACACACACAACACACGCATTGGAAATGTGCGCACTCAGCACTCGTTTGGGCCACAAATAATAACAGAAGTTTGCTGCGTCTGATGGTCAATTGATGCTGTATTTCTTACCTGGAAACTGGCCAATGTTTCTTCTTTGTCCTGGTTGTCCGACATTAGTGTATTTAATTAGTATTTCGAATTAAACTAAAGTACTACTAATTTTCACAAAGAAAAGACAAAAGACAGTCTGATGTAAAAAACATTCGCCTGTTAACGCAATGTTAACACATGTATGAGACTGTTAACTTTACATATGGTACGCTGCTCAGAAAAACAGCTTGGCGAATGCTAGTAAAATATGTGTATTTGGTAGGCACATGAAATGAGTTGTTTTACACTATTTATTTGTTGAATTCGCGTTAATTTTAGTTTTTTATTATTTCAGAACACATTTAATCAAAAAGCTTGCATAAATTCACTATATTCTGACTTTAATATATATGTCACTATTCAAAGCAAATGTTATTGCTTTTGACTTTTGCACAGCTGAGCTGCGTACTCACCAGCAGTACTTTCGTGATGGTAACCGGTCATCGATAACAATTTTCTACGTGTTAACGATTCTCGATGTTAATTTTAACGATAGTTTAGGCGCGATTTTTTCAAATGTTAAATGAGCAGTGGTAAATGATTATTAATGATTTAAGCCGAAATAAGTTGTTTTGATTGTATATAAAACACTGCTCATTGAAGTTACAGATTACATATAAAAAAACAAACAAACAAACAAGTACATTGCTTACTTCAGCAGAGTTGTATTTATTTATCTTAATCCTTTCGTCCATCAATGTAATGTATTCAGTTTTAAATTGTGATTAATATGCGAAACTTAATATTGCGTACCAGTGAGACCGCCCACTAGCACACTCGATATACCAAACAGGCGCTCAACGCCTACGCGTCGCACCGAACAAATATCAGCCAATTAATCTTCATAAGGCGAGTGAAATCAAAGAACTGAATGCGATGTGATTTCGATGGGGCCGGCAGTCGAGTCCGGCATAGATGCCAATTGGTGCTTCGAACAACATGTTGCTGTTCGCTAATATTTGTTTGAAAATCGCAACACTTGCCACAATTTGTGGCATCCTCGGCCAGCTGCAAGTGGCTGGTGCCGTAACAGCAGCCGGATCTGAGCAACAATTGCCGCAACGCATCCACAGTTTACTCCATCAATTATCCTGTGGCAGGAAACTCAATGCAAGCGCCAACTTCGCTTTGTTGTTGGCCGAATTTCTGATAAAGCGTAAGCCCAATGAACCGTGCACACATACATAAATATTTATGTGTGTGTGTGTGTGTGTGTGTGTGTGTGTGTGTGTGTATGTGTCATAAATAATCATTAATTTCGGCTTATGCCGCATAATTTTGCAGAGAAAATGAGATACATAACGCCCACACGATACGATAGACAATTATATTATCAACTGCTGCATAAAATGAATCAGCTGGCAAGCTGTAAAAATCCAGGCGAATTTAATCCATTGCAGGAGCTAAGTAAATGTTGTACAAAATTAATTAGACATTTTCTCTCACAGTTTCCCCGCTTATTCCACTTAGTTTTGCGAAACGCCTTTCAGCGCAATGTTTTGCTGCTGCCACCCAGCTTGAAGTAGGTTTGCATAATTTAGTCCTCAGGCTCTTTTATCTTGATCTCTTAACTACTTCTCTTATTTGCAGATATGGCGCACTGAATGCAAATGCTGAATATGAGCAGCTGGCCATGAGTTATGACAGCCTCGTCAGCCAGGGCTCGCCGAATAGAACGGAATCGGATCTCTGCATGCGTGATATAGTCACTCTGGATACGAGCCGGTGTAAGCTGAGTCTGAGCTGCTTGGACCTGCTGACCAGCGAGGCGCCAGCCTATGGCTATCAGCGCACTCATCAGTGAGTATATGAGTTCTAGTTCTATTGGACACATATACAAAACGAGATATTTGCTTATGGTATACACTGTAAATATTAATATTTATTAGCGGGCATATTGTTTGTATATTTCCTGTGCAGAGCTATTTTTTTTTACTATTGAAAGGACATATATGTATTTGTAGATTAAAAAAGATTCTATATTTAGCCTAGATATTATTATAAATATTTATTATCGTATATCACTACTTATACTAGATATTATTATATCTGAATAAGTATACTTATATATATTTGACTGACAGACTCCGATCTAGCACCTCTTACCTCGCTCTATATATATAATATACCTCTCCCATTTTCGAACTTTACAGAGCATATCCTATATAGAGTTTTATAGCACTATAAAGATATTACAGAGTTATATACTCCTGTTATATACCATTGCTTTCCCATTTACCAACACTTGCAGCGTATATTGGCAGTTAAGCATATTAAATATAATAACTTAATGGATTCCGTTGCTTTATAGGGTGCTTCTGCTCTACATGCTGCAGCATCACAAATGTGCCCCCCGCTTGAGCCCGCCCCAGCTGTACGAGGAGCTGGCGAAGGGACACTGCAATGAGATCTTAGGCGAACAAAATGCGATACGCAGCCTGGCGCTGGGCATGGGCAAGTACAAGGATCTCTATCTGGAGCAAGGTAAATGCCAGAGGCATTATTAGTTTTAGTATATGGGTCTAATGGATAATGATTAATTGCAGCAACTATTTGTGGTCTCTGGGGCTACAATGAGTTCCTCAACTGGCGCAATGTGATGGAAATCGACAGCTGGCAGAAGGAGGAGAACCAGCAGCAGCAGCAGCAGCAGGAGCAGGAGCTGCAGGAGGAGGAGAAGGAGCATATTAAGGACTTGTCGCTTGTGTTCTACATAAATGCGTTGCTGCTGCTGCATTAATGCTGATGTAATTTACTGCTGCTGCTGCTGCTGCTGCTGCTGCTGCCTCTGCTGCTGGCGTTGCTTTTGCTGCTTTTCTAATAACTGCTTGATAACTGAATAAAATGCAGCTTTATTGCTTTGACGATGTGTTGACAGGACGAGCAGTTAATACTTTTGTTATTGAGTTGCCAACGAGTGTGTATGTGAGTTGTTATTGTTGTTGTTGTTGCTGTTGTCAGGTGGCGACACATTTGTAATGTGACACATTAGTTGCGCCTGGCTGACATCTTGATGGATGCGGCGCAGGAGACGGCAACACTTTCCATTACAAAATGCTCGCATTGAAGTGGAATACTAATATTTGCGCTGACATACTCGAGCAAGGCGCAGAAGAGGGGAGGAGTGGGCGAGTAGGCGCTGGAGGAAAACATGGAAGCCAGCCAGGAGCATGGCTCTTGGATATTAATGCCTCATTTGCTGCAAGTGACGAAGTGGGGCGGCAGTTGCAGCACCCACTAAGCCTTGCACAAAAGACATAAAGCACACACACACACAGAGAAGGGAGAGAGAGAGAGGGAGAGGTCACATACAGAGACATTCACTCAGTCACCCACACACACATACACCCACACACAGAGACAACACTCCTGTCTGTGTGTCATGTCATGGGGTTTGCCCTTTTGGCCAGGCAGAGCCGCTGGCAAAGGCAAAGGACTTAGCAGCGCATTGTCAAAGGGTCCACGAATGGTGGGCGGGCCTGGTCATTAGCAAAGTTGACTGCCAGTGCAGCAACAACAACAACAACAACAGTAACTACAACAACATGTTCACATGGTCAAGTCTCAGTTACACAGCCCACAGGAGTTAGCAGCCTAAGCTCTTGCCCACACTTCAGTTTTATTTTGTTTTTCATTTCTTTTGTCATTTTCAACAACAACAATAACATTAACAACAACAACCCCTGCAACCTGATCAGCTGTCATTGCTGACTTGCTGCCCTTCGTCTCGTCCTTTCCATTTGAAAGGCTTAAGCATATGTATGTACGTTCGTGTGTGTGTGTGCCTTCAAGTGTCGATTGCCTGCTGGTAGGTGTTTATTGTGATGTTAAGTTCGCTGGCAAGAACAGCAACAACAAAATGTTGTTTAACATAGCGCCGCTGTCACTGGCGCTGACAGCTCTTGGAGCGCTGTTGTTGTAACTTGAGCCCGGAATGTTTGGCATGTTTCAATTTCATTTCGTTCCATGCGCAGGCGCCATAGCGAATGCGCTCTTTTGGATAGAAGGTGGCAGCTGGGAGCATGGAAGGAGGAAGCAGAAGCTACATACGAAAAAAAGGGCTGTCAACACAACTTAGTAGTTATTATCCCGATTTGTTAAACACTTTGTATTTACTAAATTTATAGGTAACAAAAAGTTTAAATCGAATACAATAATCTAAACTAAATTTTCAAGCTTCTGTTTCTAAAAACAAATAATAATATTTTGAATGTTTTAAAATAATTGCTAATTTTTAAAATTTTTAGGTGTTTTGACTACCCTAAACTACCCCGATGATAGCCTGTGTTCGTTCATATTTGGCGCCTCTTTACATACTCGGATAATCAACTAACGGATACTACGAACGCGATTTGGGCACTTTAAGACCAACAACAACAACGCAACTGTCATTCTCTCTGGCAAAGGTGTTTCGTTCGCTGTTGTTGTTGCGCTAGCATGCTTCTTGCTCTCCACTCTGGCAGAGTTTCGCTTCGTTCCAATCAGCAACGGCTTCGATACGCGCAGTAGTCTCCCGTCAATTAGAGTGTAAAAACGTAAACGCTCCACAGAAACGGCTATCGGAACGGCGCCGCCACAGAGACAATCTTTCGCAGGATACAACCAAAATATAACATATACACACACACACGCGCTACAACAACAGCTAGTTGGATGGAAAAAAAGAAAGTTAAAACAAAATAAATACATGAAATTTGCATAAAAAAATAATGAGGTGTCAAGTGTGAAGAAAAAACGTCGGCTGTACAAGAGTCGAATGTGCAATGTGAAAGACATCATAAGAGACTGTGCGTGTGTGTGACCGTGTGCGTGTGTGAGTGCGTGTGCTTTGATGTAAATACCACGAAAATCGCTGAACGCCGAAAATAAAGCAGCAGAAATCAACGAAGACGAAGACGACGTCGCCGTCAACGAGGCGGACGTTCGCCAAAAAGCAGAGCCAATACAAGTGAGTAGTAAACGTTGTTGTTGTTGTTGTAGTTGGAGAAACGAGGCGAAATGAAATAATGGAAATTTATGTTAGGCAAGCAAGAGCGCACTTTAAAGTGGCACTTGAGCACTACGTAGAGCGGCGGGAAAGCGGCAGAGCAAGAGGAGCGAATTAAATATAAGAACTACTGTTGTACTATGCATATATGTATGTGTGCATTTATATATACATACATACTTACATATATTATATTTGACAATTTTGCCTGCTGGTTGCACTCAAAGAACGCATTCGGCCCGGGCAATGTTCGCTATGTTGACGTTTTTCTCGCTCTCACTCCCTCTCTTGCTTGCCACTGACTTTCTCTCTTACACTCGTTTGCCAACTTCCATTTTGCAGTCAGTCAAATGTCTTTGATATAATGTCGCCCAGCACTCACTCACACAAACATATAGCTACACAAAGCTGCGGCTGCAATAGCCACACACATACACACACACACGCACGACACTTTCTGTTGCTGTTACTCTTACATTACAGCTCAGCTTGAGTGTGCTTGCGTGTGTATGTAGCTTCTTTTGTTTTAGTCCTTGCTTGAAATTGCTTTCTACTGCTGTTTGCTTTTGTTGTAGAGCTCAGCGCGACGTCTTTGACAGGGCGCAAGTAATATGCGCACCTGTGAATTTGCCATAAATTAGGCGCAAGAGACGCGCTCACACACAGAGGCACACACGCAGATACACAGACACATATTTATACGTAGACGCATGTCAAACGTTAAGAATTTAACAGCAAAAACGCGCGCCAAACTTTTACGTTATATGCATGAGTGTGTGTGTGTTTGTGTGCGTCTGATTGGGCCGTAACTTGGGTCAGTCTGTCATGCGTGAGCTGCTCGGTCCAAGCAGCCCCCAAGGAACGCCTCACATTCCCATCAAAATGTCCCTCTGTCTGGCTGTTCAGTTCTGTTTCTGTTTTCTGTTTCTTTTTTTCTTGTTCTGTTTTCTGTTTGTATTTTGTGGTCTGCCTTCAATTGGCTCTCAACGGGCTTTGCTCTATTTACCTTATAAAAACACAATTTATTGCTGCTTTAACGATTTTTCTTTTGCGGTTATTTTCTGTTAGCTCTGTTGTTGTTGTTGCTGTTGATTCTTTTGCTGCTGCGGCGGCGGCTGTAGTTTTGTCTGTTACAACAGCTCCTCTCTCTTTTTTGCGCTCATTGACTTTAATGCTCCCTGTTTGTTTTATTTCTTTATGTTCGTCTATGTATGAGTGTGTATGTGTGTGCGTATATTTACCGTTCGCTTTTCGTATTGGCTTTGGGTATTAAGTTTTGCGTGACATCAACACAAAAAATCATCAGCAAAACAAAACAAAAACAACAAGAACTGCACAAACAGTAAGCACTCATTGGAGAGGCTAGGATATAATTTGTGCTGTGTTAGCTGTTCGCTGCTGGCAGTTGGCCTTGCTGTAGTTTTAAATCAATAATTTATACTATAGAATAGCCCGCATAGAAGATAGGGTTTGGGCTCGTGTGTTTTTCGCTTGTTTCAGCTAATCAAGTTGTAGTTTCAGTTCATTGTTCAGCAGATATAATAGATAATGGGTCCTTTGTGCGATTTAGGTCACAATTAGATAAGCGCACTCATACACATATCCAAGTACCTACACATACATGTTAATGCTGTTAAGCTGCGAGGCCAAATGTTAATAATCTGAGGATCAAAGAAAGAAAGAAAGAGAAAGTGAGTAAATGAATCTTCGAGAGTTTGCAGCATACAACGGCAACTAAACTGTAACTTAACAGAAAAGCTGTATGCCAATCAATACAGCAGCTAGAAAGCAATAGCATAGTCTAAGCAGAGGCTTACTTGAAAAGAATTGCTGCAACTAAAGAGTTAAGCGAAAAGTGACGTATGAGTTTAACAGTGCTGTTAATGCAAATGAACTAGAAATTTTATTAACATACAAATAGTTCTTATAAGATTAGATAATGCTGTATAAAAGTAGAGGATAATTTTTAATTTATAATAAGAGTTAATTAGAGAAAGAAGAACATAAGCTATAAAATAGTAGTCATGCAATACAATTAATTAAAATAAAACTTTTCTGTGTCACAAATTAGCTAAGTGGCAATAAACTTATAACTTCACGTTCAGCTTTTATACATGTAACTTCAAAATTGTTCATCATTTCTGCATTTATACAATAAAAAGTTATTTTTACCACACAAACAAGTTTTATTGCCATTAGTTATGATTTTCACTGTGGCACTCAAGTGAGCTTCAATTGCCCCGTTGTCATTTCTCGTTGCCCAACACTCTTTCCAACACTTCCCTTTGTTTGCTGGAGAAGAAAAACAAGAAAATATTATGAGTTTACGTTTGTATGCATTCTCATAAACTTTCTAAAAACTTCAGGTAAAACTGTCATAAAATATTTGCTCAGATCTTGGTTGCAATCTTATTAATTGAGTAAAATGCATAGAGTAAAGGAGAAGAGAAGAAAAAGAACAACAAAAGAATGGAGAACAGAAGACAAATGAATGGAAATAATGGAAAATTGAAGATAAGGGAATTCATAATATTTAATAAAAAAGATTTGAGAAGAGTATAAATATAAAGCGAAGAGAAGAAAATAGACAGAAGATGAGAAATTCAGGAAGAAATATAAGTAAAAGAGAGTTTAAAAAAAATGAGACGATCCAAGACATAAGAATAAAAGAGAGAGATAGAACATTAAACTCAAATGAGAAGAAATGCCTGCTGAGGACAAAGAAAATAAAAGAGTGTATAAGAAAGAGCAACAAATAGAAGAGGGTAAAATAGATGAGAAACAGAAGTGCCATTAAGAATAGAGACATAAACGAGCATACTGTGGAGAAGGCACAGGCAGGATAGGAGGAAAAAATAGAGGAGTGCCAAGGACAAATGAAAATAAATGAAGGAAGGAAAACGCCGTATAGTAGTGGAAGAGAAGGTCACGGAATCGTAGCATACTTTTGAGTCGAATCAACTAGAGAATGACATTTGTAGCATTCCGTCTCGTTTATTGTGCATTTAGACAGACAACTGATGGGGAGAATAATTGTGTAATTAAATCAATGCCACTCGATGTTAATTTAGTGCCATTAGCCGCATAATTGGGTTGATCAACTTGATGTCGGCCATTGCAGAAGTTCGGAGACTGCGACTAAGTGTCATTAATTTTGATTTTGGAGGCAATATCAATGTGTAATTAGTTGGGGCCTGCGGCCGAAAGCGTAGTCTAAAGCGCCCAAATGGCCACTTGCCACTTACCGCTTGCCACTTGCCACTTACCCATTTGCCATTTGCCACTTACCACTAACAACTTGGACTGCTGTAAAATTTTCCAGCCAAATGAGCGCACGTTCTTTACTTTACTTTATTTCTTTTTTGGCTGCGTTTACCTGAATAATGAGTTTTCATGTGCCGCATGCCACATGCCACATGCCCCACATCAAACACACACACACACACACACACACGGGCATCCCAGCTACATCCCAGCCTAGTTAAATGTATGCATTCTGGCTCTGTGGCCAAAGCTGATGCCAAAACTGAAAGCTAAAGCTGGGGGCTGAAACTGGGGCTGAAGCTTGTGCGACAGCCTTCAACATTTGCTGGCTATTCGGAGGCGTCGTACCGGAAAGAAATGCCATTAAAAACGCAATAAAAATGCAAAAGCAACAACAAAATCAAAAAAGAGAAAAAAAAAACAACAACAAAATTGAAAAAAATATTACCGAAATGAAATGAAAGAAAAATGAAAATAAACGTTGAGAGAGAGAAAGAGAGAGTACAAAAACATATCAAAAAGTATGTGTGTGAGCCTTTGGTAGTATGTCAAAGTGTGTGTGTGTGTGTGTATGGGTTAGTTAGTGTGCGTGCTTAAGACTTCAGTGCAAATAGCCAAGGTGGAAAAATCGATATAAATGAATACGGTAACATTTGGTCGACTCTGAAACACCCAAAAACTCGAGACAGTACAAATGGCAAAATGTGTTGTTTTTTTTTTTTCACTTTTTTCTCTTTATTTTATTTATTTTTTTGTTTGTGGATGTTGGCCTACCAAAGTCCAACTTGCAAAACTTTTGCACGCACAGCAACGCACACAGCCGCAGCAACAACAACAACAACAACACCCGCACACACGTAAAAGTAGCCCAGCCACCCACACATAGCGCGCACACACACACACACACAAACACACCCACTCATTCACAGCCCAGCAGCAACCCGCCCAAGCCCACATTCACGCCCCATGGGCCGAGTCAACGGCAGACGTCGCGATTTTAAGCGCAGGCATACAAAACTTGATATAAAAATAAAGTAAAAATAAAAACAACAAGAATTACTACAGTGGGGCATGCTCAATATTAAAATACCCTATAACTCAATTTGGCATTGTGATTCGCTGGAAAACAAAAGAACTGCATTAAGAAGATTCAATTTGCATATATTACTGCAATTTATAGTATATTTAAATATGAAAATATTGCTGTTAAGAAAATGGCATTTTCAGTAAATGTCAATTTTAACTATCATTATTTTACTCAAGTCTTGCTCTGTTAACATTGCATGCATTTATGTTTAGTAGATGGCGATGTTAAATAACAGTTTGCCAGGAAATAAACGGACAAACAGAAACTAGTAAGCAATTAGAATGAGAGATCATTGCTGTTAATAACAGTTGCTTGTTAAAGGCTACGTTTGCAGAGAGTACGCAATGTAAGACTTGCATTTAACAGAACTGCAAATTTACTTAACATTATTCATTAGTATATGTTAAGTGCACACAAATAACAAATTTTTATGCTAGACTTTAATTTATTTAGCCAAGAAAAAGAGTTTAGCCATCAATTGATTTCACCCAATCGGCTATTATGCTCCCAGGGTATATCACCAACAACAACAACAACAACAGCAAGAGCAGCCGCAACGTCAAATAGCTGTAGCAATGAAGAAAGATTTCATGCTGTGGCTGCAATTTTTGCCCCAGTAAGTATGCTACATATTTTTTGAGCACGGGTTAAGTGCCACGCATGAGTGTGTGTACCAAATACACATGCACATACGCATACAAATTCTGATATATATTTATATGTAAAGTTTTACATATGCGTGCGTGCGTATGTGTGTGTGCGTGTTTGGGTCTGTGACCCGGCCTAAGAGTCTTCGTCAGCTCCAGCCTGATTTTCAACATTTGACATTTCAATTTCGATTGGCCAACGAAAATGATAAAATGTCAAAGAAAAAATCAGAAATGGGAATGGGTTACATTTTTGTTTTTGCAGCTGCTTCAGCTTTTACTGTCTTATACACAATATGCCCAATTGTCGTATTGATTTCTAATTACATGCATTTGCCCCAAGGCACTTGGCTTAAGGTAGGGCCACGGGATCACCAGATGTATATATATACATATATACAAATATATACATATATATATGTATTTGTAGGAGTGGCTTAGCCAAATGGTAACAAATTGTAGAGAATGAGGCACATTGTCTACTATTAGTATTTGTTGTGGTGGCGTTGCCATGACGGTGTTTATTGATTTTACGGCTGCTAACAACTGGCAAAGGGAAAGAGCGGCACGGTGGGAGCGGGAGCGGGGCCAAGTGGCATGCGGCATGTGGCAAGAGCCATCAGGCAACAGCCATGAATCATGTTTGTGTGAGTCCGTGTGCGTTGCGTGTTTAGCAATTTGTGGTTATATTATAATGACCACTTGATTTGCCTGCGCCTTTGGCCTACCTGCCTACCTCCCTCTCTCTCTCTCTCTCTCTCTCTGTCTCTGTTTCTCTTTCTCTTTTTCACCTTTACTATTACTAATTGCTCTTGTGGTATGCTTGTGCTTGATATATATCAACAGGGAGCCGTCGCAGTCGCAGAGGCAACGTCGAGACGCATGTACGCTCAATGCTCAGCGCTGGCTGCTGGCCGAAGTCGTCTAAAACGGCCAACGATCGTGTGAACTGTGCGTATACTTAACTGGCGTAGTTTCTGGAGCAGCAGCAGCAGCAGCAGCAGCAGTGGCAACATATCAGCCACACAACAAGGAACAACAACAACAGCAGCAACATCAGCAACAACAACAGCAACATTTCGTACGAAAATGTTCACATCAAAGCAACAACAACTGCAGCAAGGACCTCAACGACTGTCACGCCTGCTACATATTTGCCTGCTCCTGCTATCGCTGAGCTGGGCGGCCAACGGCAGCAACATTGTGGAGCCCGAGGAGGCAGCTTTTCAAGGTGCGTATGACAGCTGACACTAACCACAGCCCCTCACACCGCCCCCTGCAACCGCAGCCCTTGCGAGCTGTCCAATTGTGGAAATTTTGGCAGCATATCAATAAGTGAAGAGCCAGAGCTTGGCCTCGACTGCCTGGCTGGCTGGCTGCCTGGCTGTCTCTCTGTCTGTTTGTCTGTCTGGTTTGGCTTTGACATTAATGAGCGACTTAATTATGCCTTTCACATGCGCACATAACAATCGTGTGTCTGTGTGTGTGTGTGTGTGTGTCACTGTTATGCAATGTTTTTGGCCATATTTTCAAGCGCTTAAACGCAACACGACGCCCACACGCTTTATTACGCCAACACCAACATAACTAACGTTCTCACTCTCGTTCTCCCTCTCTCGCTCTCTCTCTCTGTCACTCTGTGCGTGTGTGTGTGTGTGTGTGTGTGCTGCTGCTGACACTTCGATTTCAATTGCATGCAATATGCGATTTTTCAATTTCAATTTTAATACGCAATGGCAAACGACAAGCTTTACTCTGCTACTCCATCAACTCCAAAGCAGACGAGACGAGCTGCCAACTGGCGTGGGGGAGGGGGGATGCGTGGCATAGCACACACTATTCACAACTGTTTGCATGTGCGTGTGTGCAAATGCAAATGTGTTGAGTGTCCAGTGCACTTTAATCGCCACCACACAGTTGCTTAATCAACTAGCAATCGCACACACTCACACATATGCCCACCTGTTTGTGTGTGTGTGTGTGTGTGGTTTGATGGCTCTTTAAGCGTGTTGTTGCGTGTTCCATTTAATAGAATAGCAGCTAAGCAGAGCAGCAGCAGCAGCAGCAGCAGCAGCAGCAGCAGCAGCAGCAGCAGCAGTTGCCAGCATGACGTAAGCTTTTGACAAAGACCAATAGTGCTTGGTAACCGTTATGTGATCTGATACGATGTACGTACGTATGTTATGTGTGAGTACACATATATGTATGTACCTGCTATGGTTATGCGATGCACACATAACTGTAATGTTAATCTGAGTACAAGCAAAGTTCAATTAGAACTCACGAAAAAAAGAAGGAAAAGAAGAAAAACATTCGCTCGAGGCGCGCGATTTTGTGAAACTTTCCACACGAGCAAATTCTGAAATTGGTTTAAACTTGCAAACAGGCTTTTCATGTTATAAAAAATATATATATACATATATGTATATATATATATATTGCCAACTGACATAACATAAATAAATATTGCGCTCTAAATTGAATTTGACTGTACTTAGTATTCCAGGCTAAGTGCTGGGCCTGCTGTCTCTCAGTTATTTATGCTTATTTACTGCGATGTCCTTCAAAAGTATTTCGGCTAAAAATAAAAAGTGGTTTTTGGGTCAATTGAATTGATTTTGGACTTTGAAAAGACTGACATTGTGGACTGGTTTGGTTCAGTCAAGTGGCTCACTTGGTAGCACTTGATAGTTGTTCTATTATAAACATGAAAGTAACATATAAGTTGTATAACTACTGCTCGTTAGAGTTTGGTTTAAAGTTGGCAGTGTAAGCTGCCTAGAGACATCAAGTTAGCCAGCATTGAAATCAAGGATTTCTTATAGTTTACTGGGTCAGCAGTTGTTGCCTTAAATTCGCGAAAAGTTCACTTTCTATATTTCACTTTGAGTAACAAAGACTCGTGCACATTGATCATTGATCGATATTAGTTATCTAGTTATCCCGAGACTAAACTCTACTCTATTGCTACACTCTTAATTAGTCATATACCTTTCTCAGAACTGGACTGTCTACACTCCACACTCTACGCTCAACTTGCTCCACTCGATCATTGTACTCGACTCACCATACTCGACTCGCTACTGTCGACTCATTACACACTCTATTTTCTATACTCTTGTACAGTCGCCTCACTACACTCGACACGGTACTCAGAATTGCTACTCTCCACTTTCAACACTCTTCTAAACTCTCCTCTCTACACTCTATTTGATACACTCGACTGGACTACTCTGGAATCGCTATACTGCACTTACTCCAATCCATCAGCTTTATATTAAGAACTTACTGTATACACCCTCTACTTGATCCATTTGAATCGCAATTCCTTGCTCTTCTCCTTGGGTACCTACAGACATTCGTTAAATCATTTTAGATTATATTGGAATGGTTTGCTTTGTATTTATATCATATACCACCCACTCAGACCATTACCTATTACTCCTTAGACCTCTCCAGTTTTGCTTTTACTTGTCACTAATTATTTTTCTCAATAGTTACTCGCTACAATTGTGTATGTAGCACACCCATACACCCACACACCCACACCGCCCAACAATAGTTCGAGTGACTTAATCGTTCAGCGCTCTTCGAGTACTTTAGCTACTTGTTCCACTTGAATCGGCACTCGTTGCACTCCAGCCGAGTCTAATGTGTCTCACTCTCAGACTCAGACTCCGAGTCAGCCTTAGACTCTGTATAAAAGCCGGCCTGCTTTTCTTCCTGTCTTTTGATGTCAAGTGTTGGAGCTGATGGAGGCCAGCGCATCAGAGAGCTACAGAAAGAGCTTAGCGATGCCCCGATTTGCTCGACTCCAGTGCAGTTCAGTACAGTTCAGTTCACTTCAACTTTAGTTTAGTTTGATTGGCTCAGCTCAAAGACCATTTGCGCGTTTGGCTCGTTTGGGTGGGGCTTTGTGTTGCATAAAATTCCATTGCATACTTGTGAGAGCGTGTGCGAGCATTTGCATTTGCATTTGCATTTGAAATTGGGGCCAGATCCATATTGAAAATTGGAACGAGAAGCGACTGCATATGGGAAATGGACTCGCTTTTGGCACAATGCCAAAAAGGTGTGTGTGTGTGTGTGTGAGTGGGCGTGTATCTGAAATGTGGGCAGTAAATTACCAAACATGACTCTAGGCTCTCTCTAAGTCAGTAAAGCTCATTAGAATTTATTGCGGACACGTCGGTCACACCCAGACACAGACACAGACACAGCCAGGGGACACGCACGTCTGTTGATGTGAGTCGAAATTATGAACTCGACTCGAAATTAAAATGAACAGCGAGAGTGAGAGAGAGAGAGAGAGGGTGAGAGAGATAGGGAGTATAGATAAAAACACTTAACCATTTTGTGTTGTTTCTCGTTTAGGTCACTGCGGTCATACGAGTCCCTGCGAGCAGCTCTGCTACGAGATCCACGATGGGATGTACGAGTGCGACTGCATCGAGGGCTACGAGCTGAACAAGAATGGCTACAGCTGTCAAGGTGCGTGCGAATTAGTATGAATTGAGATGCATTTGATTTGATTTGATTTGATTTGATTTGATTTGCATTTGATTTGCATTTGCTTTTTGCAGTGATAAACACGACAAACAGCGGCCAGGATGGGCACGGTAAATCGGATGAGGATGTGCTCTACCAGAAGGGCGCCTCCTTCAGTGCAAAGCTCGCCAATGCAGCGGCGGCGGCGGTGGCAACGGCCGGCGGGCAGGCGGATGCGGATGCGAATGCGAATGCGGATGCGGCTGAAGCGGATGCGAATAGCGAATATGATTACAACGATGAGAATTTAGATGGCATGCGGGAACAGAAAGTCAATTCAAACGATTATTACATATCAGCGGAGAGCATTAGCTTCAATGAGAATCAGGAGCTGGATGCGGCCGACTTTAAGGTGGCGACCACAGCGGGCACAGCCACCAAACTAACCAAATCGACTAAAGCCGTGCCAACAACCACGACGACAACAACAACCACAACAGCAGCAACAACCACAACAACAGCAGCAACAACACCAGCTGCAAGAGCAACAATTGAGCGTGGCCAAATGGCAAACAAAGCCAATGGCCAGCGCAATGCCATGGATTATGGCTTGGCCGATGTGGATGGCGATGGCGATGTCGATGAGTATTATAGCTATAAAGCGGACATGTCCATCTATGACGATGTCAATAATAATCAATTAAATTTAAGACGCAACAGCAACAGTAACAGCAATTCGCATACATATCAGCAGACTAGCAAAAGCAACAACAACAACTTGAACAACTTGAACAACAACAACTTGAACAACGACAACTTTAAGGTCGCAATGCATATCAACAATAATAAGAATGCTGCCAATAGCAACATATCACTTAAGACAACAACAACAACTAGTACTACTACAACAACAACAACAACAACAGCAGCTGCAATCAGCAGGTGAGCGAATTAGTTAAGCGGATATAAACGACTGCATGATAGATTAGTTATGTATATTGAGAGTTTCCTAGTTCATTATTGTTGGGATGGATTAACTTTAGAGCTATAGAATCTCTAGAGTCTATCAGTCTTTAATCTCAAAATGAGCTCCTTACAGATGATAAGAGAAGATAAGGTTATGTGTATTTCGAGTTTGCTTGATCATTATTTTTGACATGGAACAACTTTACAGTTATCGAATCCTTAGAGTCAATTAGACTTTAATCAAAATGAACCACTTATAGATGATAGATGTTTTTTATATATATTGAGAGTTTTCCCATTCAATATTGTTGAGATGGAATCTCTAGAGTCAATCAGTCCTTAATCTCAAAATGAACTCTTCATCTTCTATACTCCCATTTCATGGAACAAACTATCCCTCTTTAGCCATCGAGCGAGCTGAGAACTGCTCTAATCTATTTCAAGTGGAATTATAATGCACTGACTAAAGGATGACGCTGCTCGAGAGCCTTTGCCATTGAGAATGCGTCGAGTGTGCAATGATACTTGATAGATATTTAATTGTCACTGCTGTCGAATAACGGCATCGATTGTCATTCGAATTCAATTTCACTTAATAATTGTGGCGTGAAATTCTGTGATAATTGAACTTAACGCTTGTTGACTTACTCAAGGAAGTTTTTTTTTATTACTTTTTGCAATGAATGCATGTGTTAAATTGATTTATGTTTATTGAAATGAAAGAGAAAGAGGAAGAGTTGAATATTGATTCCTTATTGAAGAACATGAATACTCTTTATTAAGTGTTGAATTTATATTTGATATTTATTATTATGAATATTATGAATCTGTATAATATATATATTATTTCATATTATATTTTATTATATATTATTATATTATATTATATATTATCTAGTATAATTTCTCAACACATTTTGAAGTTATAATAATTTGATTTTTAAGTTAAGAACAATTCAGGAAATATTAAGCCAATTGGATAGTTTCTATCCCCATACTTAATTAGCTGTTTAATCTAGTATCGTCATAACCCCTTGATATCTGCTTAAATAAAATGTTTATGTATCCCATTTAACATTTACCATTTACTTTACAGCACACTTTGCAATCTGGATTGCGGCGCAGAGGGTATTTGTGCTCTGGAGGCAACGGCGTCCACAGCGCGCTGTTTGTGCCCATTTGGCAAAACGGGCGAAAATTGCCTGGAAGGTATGTGTGTGTGTGCCTGTGTGTGTGTGTGTGTGTGTGTGTGTGTGCCCGTGTGTGTGTGGCATTTAATGGCCATGTTACCTGCATTTTTATATATATAGTCAGCTAATGGGTAATCTTTCGCACAGATATCAGAGCGCACGTGCCACGCTTTGCGAAGCGCTCCTGGCTGGCATTTCCGGCACTCCATGGCGCCTATAAGCATGTTCAGCTGCGGCTGGAATTCCGTCCAGAATCCTTTGATGGCATCATATTGCTGAGCGGGGAGCGAGATGATCTAACTGGCGATTTTATGGCCCTGCTGCTGAACAAGGGCTTCGTGGAGTTCTGGTTCGATTGCGGCTCCGGCGTGGGCAGCGTGCGATCCAGAGAGACCATCATGCTGAACGAGTGGAACTCGGTGATTATCTATCGCCATCGTTGGGATGCCTGGTTGGTGCTCAATCACGGCACCAAAGTCCAGGGCAGATCGAATGTGAGTTTGGTTATTCGAAAGCAATTCAAGCAATTCCATTACAATGTGCTCCATGTGGCAGGGTCTCTTCTCGCGCATCACATTCCGTGAGCCGGTCTTTCTGGGCGGCATTGGCAACATCACGGGCCTGGCCAAGCGTCTGCCGCTGGCCGAGGGCTTTGCCGGCTGCATTCGTCGCTTCGTGGCCAACGAGCACGACTACAAGTTCACGGAGCATCCGCTGGGCGATGTCATCAATGGCTTCGATATACGTAAGTCACATACATATACGATATATATATAGTATATACTACTTTGTTTCTTTGTTCATCAGAGGATTGCTCGACGGACAAGTGCGTGCGTTATCCTTGCCAGCATGGCGGAAAGTGTTTGCCCTCGGATCAGGGCGCTGTTTGCCTGTGTCCGATTGGCTTTGTCGGTGATTTGTGCGAGATACGCATGGATTTGCAGGTGAGTGGGGAGTGGAGTGGAAAGCTAACCAAAGCAGTTCTATATAGTTTTGCCCGTTCATTAGGTGCCCGCCTTCAATGGCTCCTCTTTTCTGCGCTATGCGCCGCTGGGCGACAGCGCTTTGATCTGGCTGGAGCTGAAGGTCATATTGAAGCCGGAGCAGCCGGACGGTCTGATACTCTATTCGGGGCCGGAGCAGCGCGGCGATTTTATAGCTTTGTATCTGCACGATGGCTTTGTGGAGTTTGCCTTTGATTTGGGCAGCGGCCCAGCGGTGGTGCGGTAAGTGAACTGCAGCAAATGGTGGCCAGCACTTATCTAACTCGTCTCTTAATCAGCAGCAGTGAACACTCGCTGAGCCTGGGACAATGGCACACCATCAAGATCTCAAGGACCGCACGCCTGGCTGTGCTCAAGGTATGCCAAAAGCAAGCCGAACTCTGGCTCACTCTCACTCTCACTCTCTTACTCCCTCTCATTTGCAGATCGATCAGCATCAGGAGGTCATGACCATTTCCTCGAACGGCTTCTGGCATCTGTCGCTGGCGCAGAATCTATTTGTGGGCGGCGTCAATCATGTGGACCGTCTGCCATTGGATCTCAAGTACAAGTCCTTCTTTGTGGGCTGCATTCAGCGCGTAAGTTGGCATAGGTTAAGCTATCAAGCGGCTGGCCCGACTAACCAGACACCAATTTGCACCACAGATTGACATCAATGGCCACTCGCTGGGCATTGTGGCGGAGGCGCTGGGCGGCAGCAACATTGGCAACTGCCCGCACGCTTGTGTGGCCCGGCCCTGCGGACCGCTGGCCGAGTGTGTGCCGCAGATGGAGAGCTACGAGTGCCGTTGCAGCATCTACAACGAGCGCTGCAACAAGGCAGCTGAAGTGCCGCCCGAGCAGCTGCCGGAGCTGATGCTGCACAAGCAGCACAATGGCCAGCCACTTGAGGCCAAACAATACAAAGGAGTTGAGTCGAAGAAATCGTGGGCGCACAAGAAGCATTCCTCAAAGCGCAAGAATATGCATAAGCACAAGACGGCACCTGCAACCACCAGCAGCAGCACTAGCACCAGCACCACTTCAACCACCACCACCACAACGACAACCAAGCCACCCACACCAGCTGCAGTGGGTGGTGCGCCCAGCAATGAGGAAATCGAAGACGATATCATCTTTCGCTTTGTGCATGAGAATGCCGCAAAGGCGCCCAGTCCCATTGTGGGGCTGCAGCAGGCCCCACTCGTGGGCAAGCAGCATGTGAGCAAGCACGAGCACCATCAGAAGCCGAACACCTTTGCGCATAAGCTTGCCCGCCTGCCCACACACTACGAAAGTTTCCAAACAAATCCGGATAGCGATATACTAACATTCGATGATAACAACGATTGGGTGGCCAGCATGCAGCAGCAGGAGTATGCGGATGCCATGGCGACCAGTCAAGTGGGGGGCCAGACGGTGGAAGTTGATGTGGCCACTGGAGATGCGGAAGCGGGTGCGGATGCGGATGCGGATGCTGATGCAAGTGGTTTTGTTTTCGATGAGTCACTGTTTGATGCCAACGACGGCGCTGAGGATTATCAACGCAAGCAGCTGGCCCAGGACATGAAGCGCATCATGTCCAATACACACACGCACACACACGCGCAGAAAAAAGTTAACCAGGAGGAGCAGCGCCAGCAGCAGCAGCAACAGCAGCCACCAGTTGAGCCGCAGTACAGCGAGGAATACAACGACGATGAGCTGCTAGCACCCGTGCTCAAATCGGAGCCAGTGGCTCCAGCTGTTGCCGCGAGCACACCCCAAACGCACACCGACTGGAGTCTTCTCAAGAAATTCGATCTGTCCGCGGAGCATCAGTCGCAGGTGCAGAGCGTGCGCAAGAATTTTGGCGCCTGCTTCGCCGGCACTGACAGCTATTTCCACTACAACGATGCGGACACCATGAGCCAGGTCATCAGCTACAACATCGATCTCAATCTGCGGATCAAGACGCACTCGGAGAACGGCGTGATACTCTGGACGGGACGGCAGGGCACAACGGAGGAGCACGATGACTACTTGTCGTTGGGCATTGAAAAGGGGTGAGCAGGGGAGAGAATGGGACAGAGAAATGGGAACGGGAAATGGGAATGGGAATGAGAATGGGAATGGGAGAGAGCAACTGAGTGAATGCAAGTGTATTTGTAAGTGTGTGAGGGTCAAATTGCTTACTCAAGCTGATCAGCTCACGCTCACACTGTCTACCTGCTCTTCGAGGCTCTCCTCATGATCGTGCTCATCATTGAGATTGTGCTCAAGCTTGAGCGGAACTTTTGCCTACTTAAAGGCGCGTCTGGAAAAATGTTCTTCAGTCGTGTGGATGGCCTCCTAGTGGTCAGTTGTGTTCAAGTGAAGTGCTCTAGTGCTGTTTGGAAATAATTAGTCTTGTTAATAATAGTTTTTATTATAATAATTTATTATTTTATTATTATTATATATATATATATACATATTATGTTAAATGATTGTTCTAATGATCTTTTTAATTTTTTTGTTTTTTTTTGTTTATATAAATAAGTTGTATTTCTTGACAGCTGCGAATGTTTTAAAATATTGATAATCATTATCATTTGTTATTTATAATATAATTTTCTTGTAATATATGTATAAAATGTTTGTAATATTCCACAGATATTTACATTTCCGCTATGATCTCGGCGCTGGCGAAGTGGACATACGCTTCAATGGAACCAAAGTCAGCGATGGACTTTGGCATCGGGTCAGAGCTATACGGTAAGTGAAACAGTACTAAATAAACTTGTGTAAAACTCTTCTTTAACTTTTGCATAATCTTACAGAAATTCCCAGGAAGGTTATTTGGAAGTGGACGGACGCAAAACACAGACGCTGCGTACGCCGGGCAAGCTGCGACAACTGAACACCGATACCGGACTCTATGTTGGTAAGTGTTTGCTTTGCTTTATACATAATACTAACTGTAACTAATATGTATTTCATTGCAAAAATTTGACCTGTTTTTAGGTGGAATGCCTGATGTGGCATACTTTACGCATCAGCGCTATTTGAGTGGAATTATTGGCTGCATATCGGAGATCGTTTTGGCTGGCGAGAAATTGAACTTTGATCCAAATACGTTGGGCACAGCGCACAACGTGGAGACGGGCCTACTATGAAACGCTGCACTTACATAAGCCTCAAGACTTTTGATACATATATCAAATAGTTTAAATGTTATTATTTAATTAACGAAATGTTTACAAATTTGTCTATTTCGTTTGTGTTTGTACAAAGACGCTTTTAAAATCAACTGAGAATGAAACAGAATGATAAAGAGAGAGGAAAAGGAAGAGAATGAAGTGAAAAGAAGAGAATTGAGTTCTAGTTGGGAAATTTTTTTACGCCAAGAGATGAGCTGAGAAGTAACTAAAGTAAATATAGTAAACCATACTACATATAATATATATAGTGCATACAAAACCATAATGATTATATACAAATGCATACATATAAATATATATATATAGAAATTATATATATATATAAAAAACAAAGAAAAACCAAAAAAAAAAAAAAAGAGGCATGCTTCATATAGCCTGTGACTGTCAATACTTCAGAATGGAATAGTTTATATATAACTTTAGCAAAAGATTTATAAAACTGAGAACTATGCATAAAATACTTTGAAAAATATTGTATGTAGAAAATGAGCAACAAAAGGAAAAGAAAAGGAAGCAGAAGAGAGAAGTTTGCACATGTTTTATGTCCATTTTGAGCGCTTTGATTTAAGTGAACGTTACGCTTTGTGTGCAGAGTTGCCACCTTTTTGTAAAAGATAAACACACTGACACACACATACACAGACACTCTAAATACAACTACTACATTACTAAAGACACGTATACACACGCATATTGGCAGTACTTTCGTTTTTCGCATTGCTGTACCTTAACTAAAGAAATGAAACAAAAACCAAAACAAATATAAAAAACTAAAACTAAAAAGCTAAAACTATAACTGTACATTCTGTACTTCTTGGAAGTTCTATAACTGTATTAAGCAACACAAATGCAAATGCAAATGCAAAACGTTAACGTCGAGTCGAAGCAGCGTAAACATACTTATTAATTGGTAAGTTAATAAATGTGTAGCGTGTATTAGCTTGTAAGTTGGCACACACACACACACACACACACACATACACACATTTTCACAGACACGCACACATGAAGCCTGCCTATGTAAACTTTTATATTAACGAAAAATACACCAAAGAAAACAAAAACAACATACGTAAGCTACACACACATTACACAACACTAGACACACGCCACACACACACACACCAAACACATACACAGACACTACGCGCTGAACCAGAATTGAAATATGTGAGCGATTTTTAACAATTTATATACTACAATACAACAGACAAAAACAACAACAACAACTAGCTAAAAGATAACATGAAAAACAAATTTAAGCAATTTAACAATCCCATAGCGAAATTTTTAAATGCTAACAACCAAAACAATTGCAAATGCATAAAAAAGCAAAAGGAAAAACTTTGTATTCATCTTATGAATATGTTTTTGTAGCTTAATGATAACAACTACATACGTAGCTATATATATAAAAAGGTATATATATATAAACAAACAAAAACATATGCATATATATATATATGTATACAGAAATATATATATATCTATATATAAATGAGAAACTATAGTGAAAAAGTAAAAAACAAACGTAAAATGAATAAAGAAATCACAACCACCAATCAATGTAAAACTAAATTAAACGACATTCAATGTAGCTTATTTATAATATGCAAGAACGTGAAGCATTGAGATATTTAATTTCGTACATTGGTTTGCAGAAAATAAAAATATAAAAGAAAAACGATTCTTAAAAATAGTTTGATTTTTAAATTGAATTCTAGTCAAGTTGGCGCGCAAATGGCGTGTGCTTACATTGCTGTAAAGTATGAGCTTAATTGAACAAGTTGGCAGCACCATTTTATCGTATGACGTCACTATTGCTCGGACAGTATTGACAAGCTATATGATAATCATAAATTGTATATTATTGAATTGGGGAAATATTGATTTAACTTAAATGGTAGACATTTGCGATTTATTAACAATTTTTGACATTAATTTGTCTGCAAATTATATTATTGCATGACCTGCGACTCGTTACTAAATACCGGTTACTTGACTGACGAGTATATCGAGTTGGCAGCCTTGCTTTGACAACAACATATAACTCACAATAATGGTAAGCAATTCCAGTCTCTTTTTTATTTATTAGTTGCAAGTAATCAAACAAATATTTTACATTTAATAATTTGACAAAGCACTAGATTGGAGCAGCTGATGACAGCTACAACGGGCACCCAACGAAACGAGAGCAACATCATCAGCGATATCAACAGCGACGACAGCAACAGCAACAACAACATCAGCTGTACAAACATAAATTTTTAGACAAATTCGGGGTGGGGGGCTGACGACTGACTACGGAAGACGGTCGCCAAAAAGACACGGAAGTGTTTTCTCACCAGAAACTTGATTGAAAACCACCTTCGGTGCGTATTAAGCCATGGCCGATGCTGCTGGTGGTGGCATGCCCGAAAATGCGGCCGAAATAGCCGTGGCGAATGCAATCAATAACATCAACGGCCGCAATCGTGTGCTCGCTGGCGGAGTGCCTGCCGGCGGGTTAGGAGTAGGCGGAGGTGTTGGCCAAGTAAGAACGCACATGCACACACATACACACACTCATGCACACATGCACAGCAATGCTTATCTTTGACAATTTGTAGAACAACATGATGAACATGCGGGATCGTCTATTTCATGCCATTTACTTTCGTGTAGCAGCCACCTATGCAGAGTTAGTGCCACGGTAAGTGATCAAAGAGTTAATTACGGATACTGCATAAGTAAAGAAAATCTATCTCTCTCTTTCCCTCTCTCTCTTCTATTGCAGCAAGATTCAAATGGCAATTGAGTTTCTGCTGCTGCTGAAGGCTTTGGTGTTCTTCTTCACTTTGGTTTACATACACACGGCATTTATAAAGAATCCCTGCACCTGCCTGCAGGATGTGCAGAATTGGCCACGCGATGGCGTTATCCGTGTGGAAATAATACCACACTTGGCCGAGAAGCGTGCCATATGGCAGCGCATTAAGTCCGATCAGCAGCTGGTGCTGGCGCTTAAGCATACTTAGTATGAAATCCGATATCGTAATATATTACTGAATCTCATTTGTTGCTTGACTTGCAGCTACTATGGCATTGGACCGCAAACACTGGACAATCACAACAGGCTGAAGCGCTACGAGACGATACTACGCAAACTGGGCTTGCCGGTGCGACCCAATTTCGCCTATGGCAACGAGAGTCTGTACTACTATTTCGATGCTGTCAATATACTGGATAGCTACGAGCATCCCAGCGCTATACCGCTCAAGGCTGATGACGATGATGGTTAATAAGTTTATTAGCTAAATAGGTATAAGTGTGATTAATAATACTTTATGCAATTCTCTTGCAGATGAGCAATACATTGTTGAGTATTCGCTGGAGTACGGCCACCTGCGTCTCTCCGCCGACACACGCAAAAGATTGAACATACCCGTGCTGACTGTGCAGCTGGACCCCAATTCGAATCCCTGCTTTGGCGATAGACTGACGCGCTACCTGCTCAAGCGTTTGCTGGGGTAATTTCGATTTCAGCTGAATTGAAAGCTTTTAATTAACTTGTTTGGCCAATTGGCAGCTATGATGACTTGCTAATGGCTTCGGTGCGCACTGTGGCCGAGAAGGAGGACAACAAGGGCTACCTGCGTAACGTGATTACGGGCGAGCACTATCGTTTCGTGTCCATGTGGTGGGCTGCCTGGAGCAGCTATCCAGCTGCATTCTTGGTCATGTTGCTCTTTGTATGTCGTTTATAATATTCATATATATATATATGTGTATCTATTTACTACTACTACTTACTTCTCTTTGCAGACGTTTTCGGTGTCCATGCTGTTGCGCTACTCGCATCATCAGATCTTTGTGTTTATAGGTAGCTAGTTAAGCGTTTCATCTCTGAGTACTTTAATCAAATTTGTTTACCTCTTGCAGTGGATCTGCTGCAAATGCTGGAGTACAATGTCTCGGCCCGCTTCCCCATCGCGCCCCTACTGACGGTCATACTGGCGCTCGTAGGTGTGCATAAATACCCGGCATATGCAGCTTATCTCTTGTTGAACGCAAATTTCTGCTGAATCTTTTCAGGCATGGAGGCCATCATGTCGGAGTTCTTCAATGATACAACAACTGCTTTCTATATAATATTGATTGTCTGGATCGCGGATCAATTTGATGCCATCTGCTGCCACACGACCATTACGAAACGCCATTGGCTCAGGTGCGTAGTAGACCGGGAGGCAGACAGAGACTGCGGACAGCTGTTGCTGCAACAGTTTTTTGTGCCATTTGTTTTCCCTCATTTTGATTTTTTTATTTATTTTTTTTTGCTGCTTGTGCAATCGTCTGTGCGCCAGAACAAATGACAAATTCAATTACATTAAGTCGAAGCCGAAGCCGGGGCATCGCAATCCTTTGCTGTCCACTCAATGTCCGGCTGCTGTCTACGGACTAACCTGACCGGAGCTGAGCTGAGCTATCCCCCTCAGCACTTAACAGTTCATTTCGTTTTGTTCGCATATTTTCTTTTCTTTTCACTCCATGTCCAGGACGTATTTCACACTGCGTTTCGTTTGGTTGCGTTGCGTTTCGTTTCGTTTCGTTTGGTTGTTATTTGAAAATTAACTTGGCTTGCGCAAGCCTCCCCCGGGGCCACAGCAAATCGACCAACACAACACCAAAGACCCTCCGCCGGCACACACAAACACACACACTCACACACACACATATAGAGAACACAGAATTTCATCACTTAAGTCAACAAGCGTAACCCAAGCACCAGTCAACCCAGTACCCACCCCCACCCCCAGCCCAGCTCCAAACCCCAAACCCCAAACTCCAGACCCCCAAACCTCAACTGGGCCGCGCCATTAGCAAACATTTAAATAAACTTGTTTGTAATAGCTGCGAACACAAAATGGAATAAGTGAAAACCTACGGAAAAAATTGTACAGAAGAGGACAGCGAGGCTGTGGGGCCATGGAGCCGGGGGCAGCTCCTATAAACATTAATGACCACGCACGTCATACAAAACTCAATCGGGCCGACAAGCGAAAAGTGGACGCGACTCTAAAACCGTTTACCCCCTTTCCCGTGTTCTCTTCTCTCCTTTCATTTTGATCAATCTTTTTTTTAGCCTCGTCTGGTTCCGCGAACTGTGGCTGGGGACGAGCTACTTTGCGGTTTATTGCGCGCACTTTGCATAATTGAGAGGCGAACAGCTAGGAAATTATTTTGGAAAATCTCACCCAACATTCGCCATTCGCCACTCGCCACTCCCCAACGGCATCAACAGCAGCAACAAGATTTTTCAAACATTGCGTCCATCAATAATTCAAAAAGACACTCGACTATTCCCTTTATTCGACTCGCTCGCCGTCCCCCTCTGCCCCTCTGTCACTCTCTCTCTCGCACTCGCTCGGTCAGGCTGCGTCTGTCTGTTTGCTGTTTATGAGAGCCGAGCTCCATTAGAAATTCATGCCCTGGCATTTACCAATCACTATTCACTGACCCCGCTTCCCCCCTTCCCCCTTCCCCATTCCTCTGCCTCTTAAATTTTGGTGTTGATTTTGCGTAATTTGCGCCCGAATTAAAAGGCCATCAATGTGGCGCTCGGTTCGAGCAGCTGCCGTATTTATATTCATTAAACATTCATTGCCGCAAAATGTACCCATGCCACGCCCACTTACGCCCAATATTAGCTGTTTATTATGGCATTTAAGCGTGCCACCACGGATTTCCCTGCTGCCTCTCTGTTGTGCAACCAACCAACTGCTTGCAGCATTCTCCAGGTGTTGGCCTTGCCTTGCAGTGCCCTGGGAAAAAAGCTCCATTAAATTATAATTGAATATCGTATATCGTAATGCTCGTATTTCCTGCACCTACGCCAGTCCTTGCTAATATACTTAGCCAGCTTTGCCTGCATATTAACTGCACCCCTCCCCTGTCTTCTGTGCTTTATTATCCTTATCTGGCTAAAAATATGTATATAGATTGTAAAATATCTCATTACACTTTGTCTGACTATCAATAGCAATAAATCAATAACTTCTTTGCAATGCACTTTAATATATTATTTTCTAGTATATGCATTAAAGTTTTAACTGAAGCGGCTTGTTAAGGATCTGCATTTTGCAGTGGAGTTAGAGTCTGAGTCTTTCTTTCTATCTCTATCTCCCTCTCTACTTCTGTCTTTGTGTTACCTGTAAATATCCCTCTAACCTCTCTGTCTTCTTATGGCTTTGCTCTCCTATCTGAGCTTCCCCTTTCTTTCTATTTTTATTTCCTGAGTCTTCTCATTCTCTCTCCTTTGTTTTGTCTCCATGTCTCTTCTGTTAAGGTGTGAAAGGCTCGTCTTCACTTTGTCTTTCTGAATTGATATTCTCTTTCTATTGATGGGCAAAAGATCGAAATCTTACTACACTTGTTTCTTCACACTTCCAACTCTCACTTCTTTATTCTTCACTCACTCCATTTCACTCTCACTCTCTTATATTTCTGTTTTTCTCTCGCTCTCTTCTTATCTACTTTTGGCTATGCCTTCTTCTCTCTTCATATCTCTTTCGATTTACTCCCTTCTCTGTCACCATTCTCCCACATTCTCTTCACTTTTCTTGCATCCTTCTCATAGCTCTCTTCTGTACTCTCTCCTCTTCTGTCTGTATTTCTCCATACCATATTCGCCTTTCTCTCCTGATTTTCCCATAATCCTACAAATTTCGTTGCTTTAAAGTCGCTGTTAAATTGTATTTTTTAGTTTTAAATAATATTTTTTTTTTCGAGGTATTGTTTGCAAACCTTTTCAGCGGCTTTGATTACCACATCTAATGCAAATTACATTCAGCTGTCATTTGTGTTTCTAATTAAATGTGGATAATAATGGATAATTAGGTAGAAAAATCTCCACAGTATAATTTAAATTACATTTCGAGATAATATCGATTTCAGCTGCCGTTTTCAGATTCCCTTTCGCTTCTCTAGCTTCAGCTCCAGCTCCAGCTCTCCCCCTCCCCCTTCCCCTCCGTTCGCCTTGGGCGCCTTTAACATGGAATCAAAGCAATCCGAAATGTTTAGATATTAGGTTGAAGTTCGAGCTGCGCTGCTCTCACTGTTGATATATGCATATATTCATATTCACATATTCACATATTCATGCTCATATTCATACTCGTATTCATATTCATATTCATATAGCTCTATATATATGTTTACCTATTCAAAGGCGCGGAGAGTTGGCCAAGATGCATTTGCTAAGGCCAGAAGTAGCCAAAGAATATCCCCATTGAAGTAGCCAAGTCAAGGCATATGCAGATTTTTTGTCCTCTGCCACGCCCCCTCCCCTCATCCCAGCCGGGCACCCCCTTCGTCCTACGGCAGCACAAGTAAAAATTAATTTTGTAAAAAGTCAAAACATATTGGTTGAGCTCATCATGCATGTACCCACGCACACACACACACGCACACACACACACACATCCTGTTTGTTTGCTTCTGTGTGTATATGTGTGTGTGTGTTTGTGTGTGTGTACTTTGGTACGGTTTAATTTTGCTGTTATTGACCGCCCGAAGCAATCGAAGGGGGTTTCCACTTTAGACCTTTTGCCTTTCACTTCCTGTTTTTTGCTGCTGCTGCTGCTGCTGCTGCTGTTGCGGTTATGGGTTATGGCGAAGAGTGACAGAGAGAGAGAGAGAGCGAGGGAGTAAAGGAAAGAGAAAGGGTAACGATGAAAAGTTCTCTCTGGTAGTGCTGCCATTTTGGTTGCCTGTTTGCGGTTAGCTGCGATTGAAGTTCGCTTTAAGGCCAACGAAATGCGCCAGCTGCGTTAATTAGCCCGGCTTAAGCCATATGTCTTAGATAGTTGCAAGCGTTGCAACAGCAGCAGCAACAACAACAACAACAACAGCAGCAACAACAACTCCAACAGCAGCAGCAACAACAACTCCAACAAGAGCAGCAGCAGCAGCAGCTTGCATTAGCTTCTGGGGCAGGTGTAAGTGTGACGCACTCAGGTATTTACGCCCTAATTGACTACCGTCAGCGACTTTAAAGTGGCATCAAAGCAACTCGTTTGTGGCACGCTTAAAAATAATTCTGTTAATCGCCGTTTAACGAGCAGGCGCCAAAATGTATAGACGAGCATAATTTGGCACACCCCTTTGGCCGCCCGCCCAGCTTGTTTGAGGCTTGTCGCCGGCGATACGGCGCCCCCCGACCCCCCCTTTATTGAATCCGTACCGCCCCTGCTGCTGCTGCTGCTCCTGCTCTGACTTTTGCCCTGCGGCTTTCAGTGCCGCAGCCGTAATGCTGCTTTTGTGCTTAAATCTGGTTGCCACGGCACGGGGCAGACGACACGTATTAAATGAGCTGCAAAAGTGTACAAAAAGGGCACAAGGCGAGGCGTGGCGACGTCTTGCGCAGATTGACGGACAGACGAGCCGAGGCAACGGCAGATGGGCGGACAGCCCAGATAGACGAATGGACGGACGGACTTCACAGAATCGCGTGGTATTGGCGGCTTCAAAGAGCAAATTGTATCAAGACAACAGCAGCAGGAGCAGCAGGAGCAGCAGTGGCAGTGGCAGCTGTGGAAGGGGTACTTTTTGGTTGGGTTCAAGTTCGGGTTCGGGTTCGGGCTCGGATTGCGAGTTCGGGGCAAATTTGTAACAGTCGCGCGTTTCAAGTAGCTGCGAAGGACACGCCGTCAGCCCATTTCCACTCAGCTGCTGTGGCGCGCCTTTTGCTGTTGTTTACACGCTTGTTATGCGTAGCTCCCTACAAATACACACACACACACACACATACACACACAGACATCTACACTCTATATAATACATATTTATGCCATAAGTATATATAGATCTGTTTGCTTGTTAAACCCAATGAGCCTGCTTCCTACTTTGGCGGCGTCCTTTTACCCAGTTCGCGCGCATTTAGCCAGAACGTCAACGTCAACGTCGTTGGCAACCATTGGCGATGGGTATGGAGGTGGGGGTGTGGTGGGTGCTACCCCTTAACCTGCAGCGCCTCACCTTATGTTCAGTCCTTGTTTTTCGTGTTGATTGAGATCATGTTACGCAAAGTATAATTGCGTCAAGTTTGTTTTGCTGCCATAACTTTTGTCCGCGAGCCAACGCCTCAAACTCTGGCTCGAACTCGAACTGGAATGCCCGGGGCGCTGAAGTGGCCTGGCCTCTTGCCACGCATATCCTTTGGCCCGTCAA